AAGTAACTGCATGGCTTTAATCAAGGAATTGATAGGATCTGATTATAAACAGTATAGTAAGAAATATTAACTTCCAGGAAATAAGATAGAAGAAAAAATACGAAACCTCAAAAAATAATCTGAAGCAATTAAGAGATAGGACTAACATTCCTACACCTCAGTCACAAGCTCTGAAGGTATCAGCAGTATTATAGCACTGCAACTAACTGGTGCCCATCATAAAGAGGAGGCTTCACCAAGAAAACATGATTTAAAAATACTATTGTACACTTATATGACACTTAGAATAGTTTATAAACCATAAAATATATATCATTCAAAACTACACTTTTTAGAATGGCAAGAGGAACGTATCACTTCAGAAAGTTTCATCTAAATTAATTTACTTTTATGCTCCAATAACTAAGTCTACATCAATAAATTTAATTACTGAAAACAACTCAATTTCTAAAAAACCAAAGTTGTAGCTATCTTTAAAATGATAAACACATTTTAAAAATCCGCTTTCTTCCATCACTGTTTCCATTGCAATAATCAAGTTAGCTATAAAATTCACGCTAAAAACATTTTTTGATCCCATCCAAATCTCATGTTTCTTTAAAATCCACACTCTACCAAACAAAGACAGTTCTTTCAAGGTCATTTAAATGTATTCCTATCTCCCCACCTCTACTTAGGTCATTATAACAATTTCTAATCTCTTTACCCAACTCCTCATGAACTATTCTAACTCAAATCCTTCACTCTTATCCTCTTTGGGTAGAGAGAAGAAGCAGACAACTTTTTAAAAACCTTGTCAGTTGGGACCAGGTGTGGTGGCTCATGCCTGAACTCAAGTACTTTGAGAGGCCAAGGCAGGAGGACTGCTTAAGCCCAAGAGTGGGAGATCAGCCTAGACAACATAGTGAGACCTCATCTCTACAAAATAATCAAAAAATTTAGCTGGGCATAGTGGCGTGCACCTGTAGTTCCAGCTATTTGGGAGGCTGAGGCAGAAACATCGCCTGAGCTCAGGAGGTTGAAGCTGTGGTGAGCCATAAGTGTGCACTCCAGCCTAGGCGACAGAGTGAGGCCCTGACTCAAAAACAAAAACAAAAATAACAACCTTGTCAGTTGGGGATGATGTGCAGCATACACAGCCCTTATGCATATCTAAATTTCATGGGAGCAGAAATATAAGCAATCTAAAGCTATATGCTTTTAAAAATCCTAAATCTTAAATTTTAATATTTGTCTTAACTGCAGTATTTTGCAATAATTTTTTGTCTGGTATCCTAAATCTTTAGGTAAATTTTATTTATTTATTCATTCATTCATTTGTTGGTTTGTTTTTATTTTTTGAGTCAGAGTCTCACTCCGCCGCCCAGGCTGGAGTACAGTGGCTCACTCATGGCTACCCCAGCAACGACCTGCTAGGCTCAGGCAATCCAATCCTTCCTCCTCATCCTTACAAGTAGCCAGAACTACAGGTGCACACTACCACCCCTGGCTAATTTTTTGATATATTGTAGACATGAGGTCTCACCAAGTTGCCCAGGCTGGTCTCAAACCTCCGAGCTCAGGCAATCCTCTCACCTCGGCTTCCCAAAGTGCTGGAATTACAGGCTTGAGCCACCATACCCAGTCAGTAAATTTTAAACATATTAAAAGTTTAGGGATTACCAAACCATGTATTTTAGAAAACAACCCAATATGAAATTTTAAAAATTCAACATAGTTAATCAAATAACTCTATCTACTATTTCAAACAGCTTACAAAGAAGTTCAGTGGAAATAATCCTACCCTTTCTCAGATATAACTAACTGGAAGAATAAATTAGGACTAAACTGCTATCTTTCTTATCAAGTGAAAAATTCAGGTTGTTGACTCTAAAAATAAATAAAAGCTTTTGAATAAATATATTTTTATTATGTGGATACTATGTGGATCAGCAGGTTTGAAATATATACCATTAAACTGAGAGTCAAAGTTAGAACAGAAATAGAAATCCAAGCTCATATTTTAAAAGGCACTTATTTACAAAGCACAGCAAGGGATTTTCAAAACATTTAAAATGAAGAATATAAGAATCTCTTGGCTGCAAAACAGAATCCTGCACTAATAGAATTGAGAAGTCTGATAGAAAATCGCTAGTAATGGGTGTTACCTGCTGGCATATATAGGTAATGTACATGAGCACAAATGGCTCAGCCTGTAATCCCGTGCCTTTGGGAGGCTAAGGTGAGTGGATTGCCTGAGCCCGTGGGTTTGAGATCCGCCTGGGCAGCGAGACCTCATCTCTACAATAAAATAAAAAAATCAGCCGGGCATGGTAGCGCATGCCTGTAATTCCGGCTACTGGGAAGACTGAGAAGGAAGGATCACTGGAGCCCATAGGCAAGGCTGCGGTGGCCGGGAGCGGCCACTGCACTCCAGTCTGGGCGACCGAGCGAGATTCCAACTCAAAAATAAATAAATAAATAAATAAATAAAAATCCCCTGGTAAAACTATACTATAAAAATATTTCTGATAATTCTATTATTTGTCTTAAAAATTGACTAGTAATTATTTTAAATTTGTAATGTATATTTTACTATAAGAACTTTTGGTCTAAAAAACAAACAACAAAAGTGACTATCTACATCACAGTACAACAAAGAAACTAAATTATCTTTCCTCTTCAACCTTTTAATCTGGAACAGTTTCTGCCTGTTTTGGTTTTTATATCATTGACATTTCTGAAGAGTCCAAGCTGTTGTCTTACAGAATATCACACATTTTAGATTGATCTGACTGTTAACATTAAACATTTTGGCAAGAGTACAATATTGGTAGTGCTGTATACTTTACTTAGTAGTGCTGTATACCTCTTACTGAACCACATCAGGGTTCATATCATATAAGCTCCTCCTCCAATTGGAGATTCTGTGGTATGAGTTGGTTCACAGAGCAAATGTCAGATACCTCCATTGTAAAGGCACATGTTTTTCCCATTTGTAAGCAGAAGTGATCTATGAAGTGAACCTCTGGTATTATGTAAATAAAATGGATTCATTTAAAATGTAGTATGTGATTTTTTCCCCCAAAGGATTATTTCTTAATTGTGGAAAACCAGAACTTCTCAGACTTTCCCACCAGATGATACCAAGTTTGAATACCATCGTTTAAGGTGGTAACTGACAAATCTCTCCATTTTGAGTATATCTTTTTTCTTTTGTAATTAATAAGTAATACATGAGACCAAGTAAATATCCTGTTCCCCAAAAACCTTCTACTCAGTAGTTTTTTTACAATATACTCTTTTAATTTCAAAGTAATAGTGTGTTCATGGTCAAGTTTCAAATGTAAAGAACTAAGAAAGTCCCTTCCCCACACCACTCCAGACCCTTAGTAACACTCCGTAACATACTTTACGTACACTGTTAACTGCTTCTTGAGCATCATTCAAAGTTTTCAGTGTATACACAAACATAAATAAATAGGCTAATATTACACGTTGTCTAGCAACTTTGCTTTTTCTTTTTGTGATAATTTATTTAATGAACTTATTTTTACCCTTAACTATTAATGCCTAATTCTTTTTTTACCAAAATTTTATTTTCAGCTATCAGGGTACATAATAAGTACACATATTTATGGAGTACATTTGATGTTCTGATACAGGCACATCCGTTCTATTAGTATACACATATTCATCTCTTTTTCAAATAACTATAGAATATTCTACTTATCAGTATTTAATTAGTCTCTTAAATATATATCATCACTGTTTTTATTTACAATTTTATACAATTTCAAACAAATTTGAAACTTTGTGTGTTTTATGTGAATACATTTGGGGAAAAAAATGCTAGAAACGTAACTGCCGGATCCAAATGTATGTGTAATTTTTTGAAATTGCATCTAGCCAGGCATGGTGGCGCACTTTGGGAGGCAGAGGCGAGAGGAATGCCTGAGCCCAGATGTTCGAGACCAGCCGGGAAACTTGGTAAGACCTCGTCTCGACAATAAATAAAAAATTAGCTGGGTGAGGTGGTATGCACCTGTGGTTCCAGCTACTTGGAAGGCTGAGGCAGAAGAATCTCCTGAACCCAGCAGGTCGAGGCTGCCGTGGCTGTGAACATGCCACTGCACTCCAGCCTGGGCAGCAGAGTGAGACTCTAACTAAAAAAAAAAAAGAAAGAAATTACATCTATTTCTGTTGCCATCACTAGCAATGCTGTTTCCTCCTTTTTTCTTCCTCATCAACACTGGACATTAGCAAATTGTTTCATCTTTGCCAATCTGAGAGGTGGAAAAATAAACAGCTCACGGCACCTAACATACTGTATACATTTTCAAGTTTTATTTCAATTTTTATGACCAAGAAGGACAAGCATCTTCATGACATTATTAAATATTTGACATCTTTTATCTGTGAATTACTTATTTATAGGCTCTATCCTCTTTTTAATGATGTAGTCCTAAGAACAATATTTTAAATAATGTATTTGAAGAAGTGTATAACAAGTATTACAATATTCATAAAGTATTATTTTAGTTGGTAATCTGTACCTAAGGCACGCCCTTCCAAAGAAAAAAAGCTGTAATTCCTAGTAACATATGTTTAATTCCACAACATTTAATACACTTTTACCCAAGTAGCCTATAGATTAATAATACTTTCATAAATGTGCTAGAGAATTTCCTATATAAAAATCTCCTTAATTCTCCTTTCAAAAACTCCACTTTCTATAGGCAAGTAGTAGGAAGCAAATGAAAATCAAGAAATTAGTATACTGATCTTTAGCCAACATTTTAGAATCATTAATTTCATCTAGGGTTCCTCATTTAGTAATAAACCAAGAAGACATTTCCAAGAATGGGGAAACCTAAAATCTAAATTAAATCTGTCTAGAGAAAGCATAGTACATCTATCTTTCACTGTTATATGAGCTATTATTCTCTTTCTACTTTAAAAATCAATTTTGTACAGACCAAGGGTAAGCAGTCACAGGCTACAGTGTGATGAGAACTTGCCTGATCAATGTAAAAAGCCGTGCCTGCACGGATCTCTCGTCGCTGTTTGAGATCAGTTTCAGTTGTGTCCCTTGACAGGGCAATGTATTCAACCTCCCTTTTGGTCAGCTCCTGTAGAACAGAGAATGAAATCATTCCAAAAATAAAATCAAGCTCTCAGCATGTGATTTGGAAAAAGTTATTATAATGACAATGCTACTGCCCTCAAGAAGAGCATTTTTAAATGTAATTCTAGGTTGAAACTTTTAGAATCTCTGCTTTGAGAAAAACACAATAAATTGAACATTAATCAAAACATGTATATATCTCCTCAGAATTCTACTTCTACTGCATTCAATCCTATTACTTAAGTAACAATAATCAAAACTATATCTTACAAAACTTAATTTTTTTATAAAATTATTTTCAAATATCATGAGTAATAATTTGGCACTATTAATACTGGATTTTCTCACAAATAACAGCCATTTCTGTAAGTAATGCTCATCTTTCTTAAAAGCATGATTTTGTGTACCAAGTATATACAATATATTAGGTACTTTACCAATTGCAAGAATAAGATAAAAATACCAAAAGTTATGTCAATAAAAGAGAGACAAACATAGATAGCTGAAGAAGAAGGAGGAAAATGAAGAGACAGAGGAAAATTAGGTAGTAAAAGAGGAGGAGGAGTGAAGAGGGGAAGTTGAAGAAAGAGGTGGAAGAGAAAAGAACTATTTCTCACACACACACACACACACACACACACACACACAAAATCATGACATTTGAAGATGAAGCCATACAGAATCCATTCTTTTACAATAATTTATACATCCTTAAAGTCATCTTGTCTTACATGTAACAGTCACGCACAAAAAAGTTATTAACATTACTCTTGGTTTTTCAGTGTTGAATTAAAAACAATGACACTCTCCAATCAAATAAGGCATACTGTAAGTTTTTGCTAAACAGGGAGAACAAATTAATTTACTGAAATGTAAAGGAAAGAGTTGAATAAGCATTCCATAATGGCAAAGGGGGATTTTCATCCAAGGGGATTTTTTTCCTCCACCCATTTGATACTGATAAAAATATACTATTGTAATTTAGGGGTTTTTAAAACTGTGTCTGTCCCCATGTCACCATAACTTTTAAGTATGTAAGGAAAGGAGGAAAATTTTCTAAACAAAGAAAACAGACAGCATAGTAACAAAAATGTGGTTAGACCAAAGAGTGTTTTCCTAAAACAACTGACTTGTCTGAGAAAGCAGTGAAGTAAAGTAGCAGTTTCTCTTGTTAGCAGATGGTTGCCTCTGGAAAACATCACTAGTACCTTCACGTCTGCTTCATTGATTGGATGGATGTGATCTCCCTCACTGAAAAAAAACTGTCATTCACAATAGGCTTCCAATGGTTGACAAAGTAATGTATGCCTGCCATTGTTAAACTGCACCACAGTTACACCCCGAACTGCTATGTGATCATTACCCTCAGTTTTGACAGCTTCCTTGGACTCTCCATCAGCCATGACAAGCACCATGTCTCCTCAGGTGCTGCTTCACTAAACAGGTTCATGAGCAAGCTCACCAATAGTAGTGAGCAATGAGCAGCAGATGGAGGAGGCAGCAGTGGCCTGTATTTTATGAAAAATCTACAAAACTTCTGTTATGTGAGTTAAATATAAAGTAAATATAACTATCAAATCATTTCTATTTCATTTCTCATTGGTTTAGTAGGCTTGCCCCCAAATTTCTGCCTTTAAAGATCATTCACTCTCATGACTACGCATAGGCTCTTATATCTAGTGGCAGTAAACTCACTGTGGAGTTTGTGAGGCAGCAAAGGCCAATACTGAGTTTTCTTATGTGTATTTCCACATCCTATGGCTGCCTCAGCTGTTTCACAGTGTAAAGTTTGGTGTTTGTTCGTTTCTTAAAGATACAAGATTCACCTTTATAGACATGTTGCATCTTTGAACCAACAAGCCTCCTACAGTCTAGCCCTTATTTCATATTCCCAACAAGCTTCAAAGCCTTGCCAGAAACAAAATCTCAGTGACATCTTATGGTCTATGAAATGAGCAAGGTAGAGAGTGTGCATCTTAAAATGAAAGATGTTCTAAACCTGGGATTCTCAGTAGCTGACCCAGCAGTCTTAGAGAATACACATTTGCCTTATATATTAATAAAGTGAGGATGATACTACAATAGCATGTTTTACCTCACAAACTGGTCCTAGAGATAAATAAAAAATATGAAAGCAATGAGCTATTGTGAGTTAGGTTCTGATTTGTCCATCGTATTTTTTATTATTCCTGCCCTATGGGGTTTTTGAAACACCAAAGCAAATTCAACACTAAAATAAAAGAGTATACAAAGTAGATTTCTAGCATAGGCATCAATCCTTTAATAGCAAATAACACAAGAAGTTTTAAATAAGATTTTCTCTTCTTCCTAAAAAGTATATTCAGAACACAACTTCATCTGATGACATTCTGCCTTGAGTCATTAGAGCAATGTCTATTAATACTGAAAAAAATAGTAGAAAAGGTCTTGTGAATTTTCTAATTTGGGTTGAGATTTGAATACATCAATTAACTTCATAACAGTTCTCAAAGAAATGCAAGCATTAAAGAGAACAACATGTCAAAAAGGGGAGAAAGTATGGAATGTGAAGTCTAGCTCCATTATTTCTAACTGTATAATGCTTGAGTAACATCTTTGAACTTGTTTTCTTATCTATTTAAAGAAAAAAAAAGAGAGAGCATGTAACATGAGGGATGCTCTGCAAACCTCAGGCTCCCTTTAAAAATTACCTAACTTCCAAAAGTCAAGGGAATTATCTGGCTATTCAAAATGTGAACCTGAGTTAAGGGAATATTCACTTGGTAGTAGTACAAAACTAGGTTTTGTTTTGTAATTTCAGAGTTGTTGATTCTATCTACTACTCCCTGACTAAATTTATATGTTTTCAATTGGACGTGGGGGACTTTCTCATTATAGCTAAAATTTCCTAAAGCTATAAAAGGCAAGTATAGATTTGTTTTCCAAATAACTTATATCAAACCCTTTATAAACAAATCACCCTTTGATGTTAGCATTTATTTCAAATAATAGCTAATTCTGATGTTTTTATAAATTATTAATCTTAATTTATTTTATATCATAGCTTATCAATGTTAAGACCCTTAGAAATAGACAAGAACTGCTTGCTCACCAAGTACTGCATAGCAATAGAACGTCGAAGAGGTCCAGGAGGTCCTATTAGAAAGACATCTTGCCCCAAAAGATCCTTCTGCATTATCCATCTCAGATGCTGAACTACGGATTGAGCTGGAGAGTCTGAAACTTTAAAAAGAAAAAAAGAGAAATTGAAATGCAAATTAGATTATACATTATAAATCTCCAAGTAATGCAGACAGTATATATATATATATAAAGAGAGATAGGCAGACAGAAAGATATAAAGACACCTGATAATTTTCATATTGTTTTACAAAAAAATCATTATTATCAATGCTAAACCAGAATGAAAATTATGATGTCAAATAGAATTACATATTCCACACGTGAAAGCTTATAAGAACATCTGAATAGCCACCTTTAAATGTCTCTAAAGAAGTGAAAGTGATTTTCAAAATTAATTTGAGGAACTGATATCATTATTTTATCACAGTTTTATAGCTCAACCCTTTTTTTACAAAACGGAGATATGATCAAATCATCCCAGACAATTAATGATTACCATAGTCTTGAAATTTTTGAGGAAAGTATATTATAACTTAAGTTGGCAATGGGTAAGATCTGCCAGACTTCACACTTAGAAAGTTTGATACAGACTTAAAACTACTTTAGAATTTAGAATTTTAGTCTATTCTTCTATACCAACTCTTTTGGGATGAAAAGACTACCCTATACAATGCCTTCCAAGTCTCTTATTAAATCACCCACCAGTGTGCTCACCTTCTATCTAAGTAAAAATGTTTAAACTAACACAATTCATTTGGTTTTGCTCATATGTAAATCACCCAATGACCCATGAAGTCCATTCCTAGGTATATAACAAAAACTCGTAACCTTGTACATCAGGAGAGTAGAATTGTTCAAAATAAAATTGGAGACTGGAAAATAGCTAAAATGCACATAAAGAAATATTATATAGTAACAAATAAATATTATATAGTAACAAAAACATACTACTACTTCCAACAATATGCTTAACCCTTACAGGTACAATATTGATGAAAAAATTGTCACAGAATAAATCACACAAAATATATCACTTTGATAAATATCAGTAAACTAGAAAGTTAATTCTTTAGAAATACATACATATGTGATAAGACAGTATTTTATAAAGCATAAGAAGCAAGGGAATGATAAATTCAGAATAACTAGATACTTAGGGCAAAATGTGGGCATGGAATCAAAGAGATTCTCATGGATAGTGTCAAGAATATTGGTAACATTCTAGTTCTCAACTTGAATGTAGGTTTTGGTGTTTGTTTTATGTTGCATTTTATATACACATATAAAAAAAGTTACATAAAGTCTCTTGTATGAATATTCCATACATTCTAAATTTGGCTTAATCACCACTGAGGTCATGAAAGAGTTCAAAGGTCCAACTAATAAAGCTTGCCAAGTTCTAAAGCTGCACTGTTTTTTCCCCTCTGACCGTACAATATCGCTAGGGTATCCTCCTACACTTCCCTCCCCTAAAGACAGCTAACATCTAATCCTTGGAAAAGATCATTTTCTGATTTTCATTATACTGGTGGGAAGATCTGGATAAAGGTTTTGAGCAGACTGGTTGATTAATCATGTCACTGGAGTCACACTGAAGTATATTATAATGTCCCCCAAGCAAATACCTGTGAGGAATCAGGAGGTTCACTACTCAAGTGAAGCTGCTTGGCTTCTCTCCCGTTCTTATGATTCCTCTATGACATGCATGGGGGCATATCACCTCTCAAGGGGCAAAAGATGGTCAGAGGGCAGGAGAGTTGAGAAAAATTCTTTGATATTATAATAGTTTGTAGTCCTCTAAAAGGACACAGTACATAAACAGATATACATCTGTATTAAGATTTCAAGGTGTTGTCAAGGAGTAATTAAAGGAGAGAAATGTTCTTAGGAGAGCAATAATGAAAAACAGAGTAGAAATTACTGCTCTAAGACCTACACTTTTGAGATATCTGTCCAGTAGTTTCATATTGACCTGAACCTGGAGAGTTACCTAATTTCTAACTACCAGATGTCCTTTAAATTATTTTCTTTTTTGCTTTAGGTTTATATTCATCTTTATGATATACAGTCTACTCTTTCTTATTTCAAGACAAGTCAATCTCCTTGCTGTTTAAGGATGAAACAAGAGTTAAGAAGTCTTAACTTTTTTATCAGCAAAATTACACCATGATTCCTATACTGCACATCTACTACCTCTTATTACTCTGATATCAAATATATATTTAAAATCTAAACACTTTGGGGTTTTTTTCCTTTATATTTTCACAAATGTCAATTTAACTGGACCACAGGTCTTCCCTATACTACTCTCACAGTTTTGTACCATTTGTTTGTATACAACTTTGACAATGTGTTTGACCTTCTATTACCTGGACTTCATTATTTAAAATCTAAAATGTGTAAAGTTCTAGAAGGTAAAACCAAGCTGGTCTCTTCAGCTTCCTCCTACCTTTAATTATTTACAACTATTGGGAACTATTCATAACTATAGAGTCTCAATTTAGTCCTATAGAGTTTCAGTCCATTTTGAATGTCTCACCCTTGGAACTATATTCATTTTCAAGATTTTTAAAAATCTAAGGTAACAGTTTCTAATCAAATGTGATTTCAACCCCCCACAAACTGTCTGTGTAATAAAGTTTAGAAATAATGTATCTTTTTATTTTTTAAGCAAACTGGAATCAAAGTTATACCCATAATAATGGAGCCATTTGTACGCCAGCACACTTTCTTAAGAAGAAAAGAGCAGGGAGTTATTTAAAGCTAGAGCCCTGGAAATTGGGCATAATCCTTTTTATGCTCACGGGCATGTCTTCCACTTGCGCATGATGCACATGTGTGTTGAGAATCAGTGACTTAAGGCATATTTGACTATTCGCAGCAATATTTTCATCTATTCTTATCACTCAACAGTAGTTCTCAACGCTGTTCTATGCTTACCAGAATGTATTTGGAAATGTCGGTGGGGGAGGGGCTGGGGGTACTTTTAGCTATTACAAAGCTTTGAGATATAAGGAATCATCTGGTACACTACTCATATTTAGTGATGCTAAATGCAATATGCAAGACAGTCCAATCCTGCCCAACATGTCAATGGCACTGCAGTTGAGAAGTACTATGGAGACTTTTTTTCTCAAGGCTTCTGTTGCCTGCATACCACTAATGAGTTAGTCACAATGAAAGACTCAGGGAAGAAATTTAAACGCCTAGGCTCAGTGGCTCAGCCTGTAATCCCAGCGCTTTGGGAGGCCGAGGTGAGTGGACTGCCTGAGTCCGTGGGTTCAAGACCCGCCTGGGCAACTTGGCAAGACCTCATCTCTATAATAAATCAAAAATTAGCTGGGCATGGTAGCGTGCACCTGTAGTTCCAGTTGATTGGAAGGCTGAGGCAGAAGGATCACTGAAGCCCATTAGGTCAAGGCTACAGTGGCCGAGAGCGGCCACTGCACTCCAGTCTGGGTGACAGAGTGAGACTCCAACTCAAAAAAAAAAAAAAAAAAAGACTCAGGGAAAAAGTTTCTCTCTATTTCTCCTATCTTTTGAAAGATGAAATTGTTAGGAAGTCGGTAGCAATTAAGTTCGACCTCTAGCCGGAGCCTGTAGGAGATGTCAAGATATTTAAGGCTCTTATTACTACTACATTTCAATTATACCTAAGCTTCTGAATCCTGTGGTTGGCCTTGTAGTCTATGGTATACCTTCACAAAGACCACATCATTTCCCAGCTTTTATCTTCCACCAATAAAAACACTAATAATGACCATAATTAATTGCATTCCTATAATATATCAAGTAAAAACACAAATGATTTTTCATACATTATCTCATTTAGATCTTACAACAACCACAGAAGGCATCAGACTACATTATGAAAGGACATAGATTCAAGTCAGACTGTCTGGGTTTAAATCCCAACTTTGTTATTACTAGCTGTGTAAACTTAATCAAGTTTCCTTATCTATATAATGGATATAATTGTACTTATAGGGTTATTGTGAGGATTGAATTAAGCCTTTAGTAACCATGTCCAGCAATAGTAAGTACTATATGTTTGTTAAATACTGATAACTCCCATTTTATAGTAAGAAAATCAAAGTAGGAAAGGTCATATCATTTGTTCACGAGATCACACCTAACTTGTTTAAGACCAAAGCTTGCATTTTAGCTACTAGATTGTATAGCCCCTCCAAAAGTTTTTCAGCAAGTGTCTACCTTCAAGTCTGAGATTTTCCCTACAAGTGTGGACTCAATAGGGAAACATCAAATTTAGTGAACTTGCTGTTCTGGCCATTAGTCCTATTTCTCTTGTTTTTGGTGATATAAATGACATGTTTTACTTCTTTTATTAAAATTTCAAATTCATTTATTATGTATATAATGTTAACAGAGGACCCACTTCTTTTTTTAAAAAACCTACTTTCACTTATTCATGCTTTAGTATAGCATATTTTGTAAAAAAGAAAAAAGCTCTACATATTTGTCAGGAAATTGCATTAAACTACTAAAAGAAAAGCATTATGTAGTGCTATGTGGTATTTGTGGTATATTTCACATTAATGCTTGAAACTAGCTGTATTTTTAGGATGGCCTCAAGAAAACATGAGTCATACTTAAAAGCATGCCAGAAATAGAAACAAGATTTAAGACTGTACATTATGAACATCTGCAAAACAAACTGCCAAACTGCCATGCATAACCTAATATAACATGGCCCAATGCACAACAGAAACCTTCAACTTCAATGTTTTCAGGCAGAAGATGCTACCTTACAGGAGTCCACATAATAATAAACTTATGTCAAAATAATACCAAAGACCTTGATCCTATATTCTAAGGTTTTCGTTTCTATGTAAAAAATAAAACATCTGCCAGGTGAGGTGACTCAAGTCTGCAATCCCAGCACTTCAGGAGGCCGAGGCGAGAGGACTGCCTGAGCCCAGCAGTTCAAGAACAGCCTGGGTAACTTGGTGAGACCCCATCTCTACAATAAATCCAAAAATTAGCCAGGTGTGGTAGCACGCACCTGTAGTTCTGGCTACTTGAAAGGCTGAGGCAGAAGGATTGCCTGGGTTCTGCAGGTTGACGCTGAGGTGGCCGTG